CAGCTGCAGCTCTGCTGCCCCAGGGTTTGTTCTCACTTCAAGCACTCCCCTCTCTCTCAGCTCTGTAACCCCCCAGCTGTTTACAGGCCCTGCAGCGTTTCAGGGTGAAACAGTCTCACTGCAAACAGAATTCCCTCTCCAGCTTTGCCCCTTCTCTGCTCCACCACAGCTCACTGATGCAGCTCCTTGCCTGTGCCCGTGTTCACAGGGGTTTTAGGATGAGGGAAGAGATGAGGATCTGACTCCATGTTGCAGAAGGCTGATTTATTATTTTATAATATACATTACATTAAAACTATACTAAAAGAATAGAAGAAATTATTTCCTCAGAAGGCTGGCTAAGAACAGAATAGAAAAGAATGATAACAAAGGTTTGTGGCTTAAGCTCTGTGTCTAAGCCAGCTGGGCTGTGATTGGCCATTAATTAGAAACAACTACATGAAACTAATCACAGATCTACTTGTTGCATTCCACAGCAGCAGATAACCATTGTTTACATTTTGTTCCTGAGGCCTCTCAGCTTCTCAGGAGGAAAAATCCTGAAGAAAGGATTTTTCATAAAAGTTGTCTGCAGCACCTGCCTTAAAACAGTTTTTGACAGCTGCTCCACTTGCCCAAAAACACAGGAGAAAAGATTCCCTTTGGGGTCCCCTTGGCATTGCTGAGCTTCCCTTGATTTTCAGGCTGGGCAGTGAGAGCAGACAGGGCAGGAGAGGAGGGAAAGGTCCTGGTGCTGCCTGGAGCCCCAGAGCTCCCTGGCTCCTCTCTGATGCCCGTCCTCTGCTGCCTCTCCCTTTCCACGGCTGCATCTTCAACCTCTCCCCTCCATCACATTTCCATCCTCCGGATGTTTCTGTGCCTCCTTCTCTTCCTGCCTTTCCCCTCCCTCTGTGCCTGTTTTCTGTCTCCTGTCACTTAACCCCTTCCTCTCCTGCTCCTGCTCCGTCCCTCAGGTATTTGATCATCGAGAATTTCATCCCTCCCGAGGAGAAGAACAAGATCATGAACCGCCTGTACTTCGATGGCGACGAGGAGCAGTGGAAATTCCAGCCGCTGGTTCCTGCCGGAGGGTGCGGCCCTGTGGCCCTGTCCTTGTCCCTGTGGCCCTGTCCCTGTCCTTGACCCTAGGGTACAGTCCCTGTGTCCCTGCCCCTATCCCTGTCCCAGGGTACAGTCCCTATGTCCCTGTCCTTGTCCCTGGGTCCCTGTCCCCAGACTATGTCCCTGTGTCCCTGTCCCTGTCCCCAGGGTGCATCCCTGTGTCCCTATCCCTGTGTCCCTGTCCTTGTCCCTATCCCTGTCCCTGTCGCCAGGGTATGTCCCTGTGTCCCTGTGTCCCTGTCGTTGTCCCTGTGTCCCTGTCCTTGTCCCCAGGGTATGTCTCTGTGTCCCTATCGTTGTCCCTGTGTCCCTGTCCTTGACCCTGTGTCCCTGTCCCTGTGTCCCTGTGTCCCTGTCTCTGTTCCCAGGGTACATCCCTGTGTCCCTGTCCCCAGGGTACACTCCCTGTGTCCCCATTCCTCTACCCAGGGCACAGTCCCTGTGTCCCTGTCCCTGGG